GGATGTTTATTTAGGTTGGGTTTGGAAAAAGGAGAGGACTTTGTGTAACTTTGCGTTTAGGCGGAAACATGTTGTAAGAGCAGTCAAATGGTCCCTGAATAATTGTGGCTTGACTTTTAGTTCGGTAACAAGTTAAACTGTCACATATTTGCATGTTGTTTTGTTTTGTTTTCACTGCTTACAGCCTGATTATTAGTACACGTTATAATTTTCATCATCTCAAAGAATTACTATGTTTATTATATATAGTATAATATTCAACTTAAGGCTGGGTGATATGACAGAAACTAATCACAATTTCTCCCTCATATTTTCAATCACAAGTTTCAATGCAATAAAAAAAGACACATTTCTTCTTCCTCCAGAGTATAAAACAAAATCTCCAAAAACACATGTAGTGAGAGAGAATTGACTGTGAGCCTCATTATTAAAAATACTCAAGCATATTATTGACAATTAGAAATTATAGAATGATTAAATCAATTAAAGCCTGGTTAACTGCACAATGTGAATAAATTGTATTCTAATAGATTTGTCATTTTCCATTGGCTTTTTTATTGGAAACTTCTTTAATGTTTCCAGTATAGAAACATTTGCAATGTTTTATTCACATTTACATTTATTTAAAGGGCCCATATGCTATTTTCTAATCTATTTTATAATGTTGTAATGTTTCCTTGTCAAAAACATACCTGGAATTGTGTTTCGTGATGTTATTATTTGCTACTACGGGAAGTGCTCCACTGTGTTTTTAAACTTCATATACCATCACTTCAGACCTGGAACTGCCGATCTCGACTGAACAAAAGGTAAAAGGTAAAGCTTGAAAACTACCTCGTAATGACATCAAAAGGTGGAGCAGAACGCTTTCAGCTTTTGGGATGCAGAGAGACTAATAATAAAGTGTTACTCAAACATGTGTGAATGAAACAAAACACAAATCCAGGTATGTTTTTGAGGAGGCAATAACATTATAACTTGGCTAAAAGCTCACAAGAATCCATTGTGTGTAATACAGGACTTTTAAACAATGATCTTAACATTTGGGAGAGTATTAACTGCAAAAATAATTCAAGAATCATTTCAGAACATTTAAACTATAGACAGTTTTCTATAAGACTCGCAGTATACAGGTCTGTTTTCTGCAGAGGACCATGTGGCTTTATAATATTTGCCACTTTTGCTCATTTCCACCATTCAAATTCCAATTCTAAAGTACATATGACAGATTATTTATAACTACTGTAAATATAAATTACAATTTACACCAATCAAGAAGCTATTTGTGAAGAAAAGTTGAAAAATATGTTGAAAATTACAGGAAGTAATAAGAAAAATATAAAAGGAAAAATAATTGTGATTTGTAAATCTTGTATGAGTATATTGTGATTCCTTAATAAAAATATAAAAAAAAAAAAAAAAAAAAATGGTGGTGGTTGGGACTGTATTTGACATATGATATTTCAATCTATTTATTCTTATTATTGTTTGCGCTGCTGATGACATGGACCTGAGTGCAGTGTTTTGTGTCTGTATATTTTTTTTATATTGGAATGACAAATAAATTCTGATTCTGATTCTGAAAAAAAAAAAAAAAAAAAAAAGAAAATTACAGGAAGTAGAGAGCTCATATACCTTGATTACATTAGGGAGAATTCTATCCAAAGGTTCGGCACATTTTACACACGAGAACACACAAGAAACACATTCTAAACGTGATTTCAACAAAATAAAGCAATTTTCTTGTGTGTATTTGCCAACTAATAATTTATGTGTACATTAGAGCTGTTTTCTTATTTAAAAATGATAGAATTACTTAGTGTTTTCAACCAAGAAGTAAAATTTTAAACCCAAAAATGGCCAAAATTGGAAAACGAGTGTGAATGTTTTTTGCAAAAATCTTAAATATAATGATCTGGGATTATAACTGTAACTATAGATAAGTAAATTACAGTTTTACACCAATCAAGAAGCTATTTGTAAAGAAGAAAAATTTTAAAAATAGGTTGAAAATCTTGCAAAAAATCTTAAATGTAATGATCTTAGCAAAATGAGTAGTAGGACCTTTAACAAACAAGTCTCTCCTCTCAAATCCACCTCTTTTTTGGTTTCACTTTTCAGCCTCACCAAACCCCGCTCTCCCTCTTCTCGTCTCCCAAATCTCCCGATAACAAAGAAGTCCCAGTTGCCTGCACCAGTGTCTTGTTCCCGGACACAGACAGCGAGTGTGGGGCTTGGATAGTGAATATACTGGAGGACTGTATCAGCTGCCAGTTTATAGAATGGTCCACTTTGTCTCACCTCTCGTCTGGACCACGGCCAGACAGCCACCCGGCACCGCTCTCCTCACAGGGTCACTTGATGCTGTAATTGAATGACTGTGCGCTGGCGTCGTAAGGTCTTTTTTGTTTGTTTTTTTTTATGTGTTTTTTCAATTTTTTTTTCTCAGTCCCCAGTCGGTGTATTTCTTTCTATTCCAATGCTTAGTCATATTTGTCAGTTCCGCCTGCTGCCTCTCGGAAATGTAGTTCACTGTGGGGTTGAGTTGTTTTGGAGAAATTTCAGATTGCAATTTGTGTTTTGAAATCAAGGGCAAGGCTGGGAGTCACAGGGTCCCTCACGGTTTGATACAATACATGATATACTCACGTTATAGCGCTAAGAGATTCTCTATACATTGCACAGGATATATTGCCATTTTTTAAGAACCAAATACATTTTACCAACAATATTTCTTTGTTTGTTTTCACTGTAACCCATAAGCCCTCTGCTTTTCAATCTCTAATTTTATTTTCTTAATTGTTAGGGCTGGTTAAGAAGTTGCAGATATGATGCATGTCTCGATATATTTCAAATTGATTCGATATGGTTCAATAAAAATAAAGGCTAAATCATGGCTGTGATATTAAAAGTCTTTGTTAAACCACTGCTTGAGCAAAGTAAATATAAAACACACCCATGTTTAATCATCAAAACACTAAATATGTCAAATGTGTTGCATAAATGAGTTTACGTCCTCTAAACAAACAAAAAAAAAGGGTGCTATGAGTAAATAATTTAGTAAAATATACCAAAAAATACTCTTGGTGATATATCGACACAGCAGCCCATGAAATCGATACTGTATTTCATCACTTTAAATTTTACGATATATCGATATTTCAATATTTTTCACACCTGTATTAATCAATGATGCGCATTGGATTCAGCAGCACCATGTGGTCAAAAAGTCAAAAATCTATACACGTAAGCGTGATGTGCAGCTCTTTGTGACACTGGGCAAAGCCGTTTTCTGACGTGGAAATCTGCAGAATCTTTAACGTAATGAGCCATGGGTGTCATAGATTGTAACTATAAACGAGACACAAGTACAATGTGTCTACTTTAAAATGCGTCCTCAACTCCTCTACTATAAAGAATTGTACCTTGGCGTACAGCAGCATCATTATTTTTCTCCAGCCCAGCTCTAAGTGATCTGAAATGAAATCCATTCAGCACCATTGCCTTTGGGAAATGTAGTCATTTGTTTGTTTGCGTATCTAGCGTACATGTTAATGACATGGCTAAATGCATGTTTGGTGGTGGCGTTTACATTGATTGCTTTGAGGATTTGGATGCCAATATGCATTAAAGCTGAAGGTGACTTTATGGCGTGTTTAAACAGCAGTAAATCTATAGACATTACAAACCTAATGTGCCATGTGCTAATGTCTTGTACCTTAGCATGTTTACTGATCACTGTTAGCATTATATTTTATGTGATGGTCATTTTAGCCTCTCCTCTCGACTCAGTGTCGTTGTTGTTTTTTATTCATAACAATTTTGCATTCAAAGCTTTTGTCTATTGTATTAAATTGGTACATTTCTAGCTGTATTAAAATTCAGTCCACATGACTACTATTTATACTACTAGCCTACTACTTCTACAACTACTTATGACTACTACTTGTACTACTACTACTACTACTTCTAATACTACTACAATAGCTATTCTTATGTAGCACTAATAGATATACATGTTCTACAAATTGTAATACTTTTAGTTATAGCGTACTTCTCTCTACTACTACTTCTTTTAGTACTTCTACTCCTCCTCCTCCTCCTCCTCCTACTCCTACTACTACTAGCTATTGTTACATAGCACTACTAGATATACATGGTCTGCTAATTGTAATACTTCTAGTTATAGCCAACATATCTCTACTACTATTTCTTTAGTAATAGTACTACTACTACTACTGCTGCTACTGCTACTGCTCCTCCTCCTCCTCCTCCTCCTCCTCCTCCCCTACTACTACTACTACTACTACTACTACTGCAACTGCTGTTACTACTACTACTACTTAGCACTAACAGTTGTATTTTTTGTCTTGTACTTGTTGTACTGTCACTAGTATCACCTACTTCTCTCTACTACTACTTTTACTGCTTCTGCTACTACAACTACTACTACTACTACTACAAAAGCTATTGTTATATAGCACTACTAGATATACATGTTCTACTACTTGTACTTGTACTTGTAGTAATAGCCTACATATCTCTACTACTACTTCTTTTAGTACTTCTCCTGCCACCACTACTACTACTACTACTTCTACTACTTCAATTACTAATACTTCTATTACTTCTACTTGTACTACTTCGATTACTGATACTTCTATTACTACTACTGCTATAAGATCAAAACAACTCCACTTATCTGTATAGTTTTCTCACAAAAGTTTCTACCTTTTTGTATATTGTTCTGTAGTGGACATAAGCAGTGACAAAATGTTCACCTTTCTTCGTGTTTCCAAACTTTGTCCTTACCTCTGAAGCAGTCTCCTTTTACTTGTAATTAATGTTGTGCAATTCCGAGCTCCAGACATTCTTGCTTTGTGCGAATACTTGATGATTAAAGTGAGACAGGTCACGTAACCCACCCACTCCAGCTTTTCTGTTGAACTGTGAAGTGATTTGACTCCTGTCTGACAACATTTCTCTGTGTTTCCCTATAGGACCTGGAGATCGTCTACTCATACCTGCACGGGATGGAGGCCCTGTCCAACCTCAGAGAACATCAGCTGAGGTAACTGTCTGTGCAGATAAGTGCTGCCATGATACTAAAATACTACTTGATACTCGACATTGATTCTGATACTACAATGACAAGAACAAAACACTCTTTCTTTAGACAATAGAATGTGATTTTCAACATTAAATCAAAGTACTTTTGATACTTTTATACCTGTGTAATCCCTCAGATATGTTCCATAGTGGTCCAGGGGTATATACTACCATATTTTCCGCACTGTAGGGTGCACTTAAAAGTCTTTAATTTCATCAAACGACTGCGTGCCTTATAATCCAGAGCGCCTTATATATGACTTAAGTAAACTACAAAGTCGCACCACTTGCAGCATTACGGCTACCGTAGTCAGGAGTATAGTGGAGTAATACATACTGTGATGCCACCTGTCAAGAGACACGCTTACAACGCTGACTTTAAACTCAAGCCTATTATAAAGTTAAACTGCGAGCTGCGTGGGAGCAGTGGATGAGAGAAGGCGAACACGCATTCACCAAGACAGAGAAACAGCGCTGAGTGACTTACGCTACGATCGTGGACGCCTGGGCTAAGGGTTAGTATCAAGTGTGGTCCGAGCTTTCACGAAGACCAGAATCATCACTGAACTGCCAAGTAACAGTAACGACACTGACTCAGATAATGACGAGAGGGATGCGGGCGTGCTGGACGCCGTAATCGCCCAACTGTTTGAACAATTATGAGTTATTGTGAATACACTAACAATTTAGCGGTTTCAGACAGTATTTTTTTATACGTTACAATTGAACAAAGTTATTGTGAACGAGTTAAATAAAGTGTGACTGACTTATCGAACTGTTTTGTTTAGTTTAATGCGCCTTATAGACCGTTGTGGTTTATATGTGAAAAAAGTTCAAAATTAGACCATTCAATGTGCGCTCCAGAGCGCCCTATAGTGCGGAAAATACGGTACTCTTTTCCTTGTGCTCTATTCTATATTACAACTCAATCCTACTTGTTCTACTAGCCTACTACTACTACTATCTCTACTAACAGTATTACTACAATAGCTATGGTTGTAGGCTACTATCTCTAATAGTTATAGTCCAGTGAGGTTCATTTGGTCGTCTGATAATTTATGTGATTAGGTTATTTTTTCAGACCAGTAGTTTGTTTTCATACCTGACATTTCCCACTGCTCATTAGCGGTCTTCCACTCCACTCTGAAGAAGACCGCTATTGGTCTGAAAAAAGAAGCTAATAACATCTACTAGTTATACTTTTGGTCTTTTACTAATTGCTACCAGTTATAGCCTACTTCTTTCTTCTACTCTTACTACTACTACTTTTCTGTACAGAGTTATATTTGTTCTGATACAACTCAAGATCATTCTAAATCTATTCAGTAAAGGTTCACTTCTGTCCTGTGAGTGTGACTTTTTAGTAACAATATTTGCTCAAATGAGTATCTAGTTTCAGGATACTTTTAATATTGATTAATGTTTGATTTTCTATACTTTTGACACACCTAAGTAGGTTGCAGATATTGTAAAGACCTGTAGACCTGGATGGAACATGTCAAAATGGGATGTTGTGTGATTTCTATGCAATTTTTATAGCATCTTGCACAGTAGGGGGGTGCAAAAATATTGAAATATTGATATATTACATTGTTTAATGTGTTAATGCCATATCGATATCGTGGGTTGCTGTATCGATGTATCTCCCTATATACCATACGATATACCAAGAGTATTTTTTGGTATATTTTACTAAATTATTTTGTTACAGCACCACAGTTTTGTTGCTTTTGTAGAGGCAAAAAACTCGTTTGTGCGACACATTTGAAATTTTTACTGTTTTGAAGATGAAAATTGTGTGTTTGATATTAACTTTCCACAAGAAATGGATTAACGAAGACTTTTAGTATCGCAGCCATGATTTAGCCTTTATTTTTTATTGAACTGTATTGAATCGATTTGAAATATATCATCGTATCGCATCGAATCGAATCGAAAGCTCACTGTATTGAGATATGTATCGTATCGTGGCGTATGTATCGAGGTATGTATCGTATCAGGAGCTTCTGAATGATACCCAGTCCTATTGCAGTATATTTTATTACCCTAAGTCACTATTATAAATATTGTGAATTTCTTTTAGCTCTATTTTCTTGTGTATATGCCTCTTGCTTTTCTCCGCTAAAAATAAATGCTTTCTTACTTTGAGCGGACACGCCTCTCCACAGATCTGACCTCTATCATGGCCTAGTGCCACTGCCCGCTTATGCCCATGGAGATAAATTACTGCAGAACATTCCAGGCCAAGCAATAACATCTCTATGGACACAAGTAGCTATCCTAATTAAAATGTGCTGACCTTACAGTTACAATAAAAGACAAGCTAATTAATTTTAATTGAGTGCAGTATTTTTGAAATTGCGGTGCCTAGACCTCTTCAGTGTACGAATTTATAAAGCAAAGTGTTGTTACGTTATCAAAAACATACCTGGAGTTGTGTTTTGTTTCATTCACATTCTGTACATCATATCGTTTAATGTGCGGGTACAGTATCGATATCGTGGTCTACTGTATCGATATATCGCCAAGAGACATTTTAGGTGTATTTTACTAAATTAATTTGTGTAAGAGCTGCAGTTGTGTTGACATTTTCACAGTTTTGAGTAAAATGGGTGTTTTTCCTTTCAACTCTGCACAACTTTTAGTATCTGAGCTGTGATTTAGCCTTTGTTTTTCACTGAACCGTATCGAACCGATGTGAAATATGTTGTATCGTATCATATCGTGTTGAATTGAAAGCTCACTGTATCAAAAAGCATGTCGTATTGAGGCCTATGTATCGAGGTATGTATCGTATCGGCAACTTCTTAACGATATCTGGCCCTAATTATTAGTCTGTCTACTTCTCCAAAGCTCCAAATTCCACCTTATGATGTCATGAATTGGTAGTTTTCAAGTTAACAGCTACTTTTTGCTGTTTTTTTTCCATTTGAGAGAAAATCTCAGCTTAAATATACAGGGTTTAAACATGTGTAAATGAAACAAAACACAACTCCAGGAATGTTTTTGACGAGGAAACATTAAACACAGATCCCAAAATATCGTAAAATGAGCCCTTTAACATGTTTGAGAAGAAGTACAAAAACAAGGATTTGTTTTTTTGCGCATGAAAATGTGCCTCCGATACCGTATTTTAAAATCTAAAATCAGAACCAGCTCTAGACCTTTATAGCCATTACATCCATAACCACTCTTCCAATTCACTACAATAACAACAACATCCAGAGACTGTACTTTTTTTCATTGGGTTTCTTAGTAGTGATGGTTACATAACAGTTTCCTATTGGAACATGCTTTACGATCCAGACGAGCTTTAGGCGCAGCTCCCAAATCTCCACTCAGTACCGCACCCACCCGCCTTCGCAGCTCCACCATCTGGCCTTTTTTTTGCTCCTCTGTCACCACACCCAATTTTTTATTTTTTTTGTTTTTTTACTTTTCCAAATGACCCATGCCTACAGTCTTTTCCCACCATGCATCGCCTCATGTGCCTACATGTGGATTACTCCGTTCGGGTGGGAGGGAAATGCGGCAGGACGTGACCCGAAAACTGGAACATTCCACTGGGTGACCCCGCCGAAGTTCGCCCCCTCCCTCCTCCCGCTTTAGAGCCATTGGAATGTCCCCAAGCTCTCATCGACCAATCACCTTCTGCCGCCAGTTTTGCTCCCCACCAATTAAAACAGCCACTTAGACAAGCCACTAAGGATGAGGTTCTTTGTTGAAAGCAACTCAAAATATATATCATTATCGAAATCGCAATTTGAGTTGGTGCAATTATCAAATTGTAAAGTTTGCATTATTTAGATATTTGAATGTCCACGGAATATCCTGTTTTTATAGACAAATCCTGTTGTAATTTTGACCTATACTATGATTATTATGTGTTTTTATTACCAAATCTTAAATTTACTTTATTACCAAATTGCTAAACTGAATTTTTAAATATTTATTTTTTATGCAATGAATTTTAAAACATCGTATTTAAATTCAGTTAATATTTTTACATGATTTACTGTGGAAAAAATAAATAAAAAATCATATGATTCAAATGCAAAAAATAGTTACATAGATTCAGTGTAAAAAAAAAAAAAATCATAATAAAAATAGTAATGTTGTGAAATGTTTGAGATTCTTGTATTAGTTTATCATATTTCAGTTGTCTCTCGAATTTTAACACTCCTGGAGTTGTTTACAATGTCCATTAGGGCTGTGTATCATTAAGAATTTGGCGATACGATATGATACATACCTTGATACATAGGCCACGATAAGATACAATTCTTGATACAGTGAGTTTACGATTCGATACGATATATTTCAAATCGATTTGATATGGTTCAGTAAAAATAATGGCTAAATCATGGCTGTTATACTAAAAGTTTTTTTTCAAGCCACTTCTTGTGCAAAGTTCATATAAAACACAAACATTTTAATTCTCAAAACAGTGTTGCATAAACAAGTTTCCTTCCACTAAACAAGCAACAAAACTGTAGCACTGTAACAAAATAATTAAGTAAAACATACCAAAAAATACTCTTGGCGATTTATCGATAAGTAGTATCATCACATTAAACAGTACGATATATTAATATTTCGATATTTTTGCACAGCCCTAATGTACGTACTGAACAGAATCCTGCTTTGTTCCCCCGACTTTGTCAGAAATGTTGTTTTTCAGTACGACTTTTTCACTTTTTTTTTTTTTTTTTTTTTTTACCAGTGTGATGTTTTGCAGTTGAGGGCAGTTGGTGGTTGCTCGCCCATGGCTGTTTTTTTAAGCTGCGTCCGTGTTTGGGTCTGCTACTGTTTACTACAGCTCTGCAGAGGGAACACTTCAGTCACACCAGGAAAGCGTGACACACCGTAGAGAGGTTCAGTACTAGTCAAAAGCAAAAGGTTTTAGCAATGGCGGACTGCAGTTTTTAGAAAGATCATGTGTGAACTATTTTGCACTATCTTTTTAGAGCTTTTAGTTATTTAGCCTTCTCATTTACCCCCGTTTTTACCATGAAGGGGTAAACAGGGGTCGTCTGCCAGAATTCAGTGCAATATTGATCTTCATTTTAGATCAACATTGCATTTAAATTCCAAAATGTAGTTGAAGGATCCACGGGTGTTAAAGATTATAACTATATAGTAGACACAAGCATAATGCCTTCTTTAACAGAGCAGTTTTCTTACTCTTTACTTAATTAGACACAATGACGAATAGTTACAACAAAATGGAAAAGAAAGAAAAAAAAAAAATATATATATATATATATATGTGTGTGTGTATATGTGTATATGTGTGTATATGTATGTTTAAAGGTAGACTACATTAAGCCAAGTGTACACTGTATGTTTTTTGCCCCTTTTTGAGCAGATTTTTCAGTTGTGACTGTTTTTGCGATCAGGCCAAGTTTTCATTTAATCGTGTTTCGTGCTTCGTGTTGTACATGGCGTATTGAGAACCGATTAATACTTCACAACCAGCTACCGATCGGCAGTCGTAGGTCGCAAGAATATCAAACATGTTTGAAATCCAGTCTCCTCCCGTGAGGGTTTCGTACTGTTGAAGCTGTGAACTTTTAAACCCTGCAATTTGGTCGTACAGTTTTGGCGGGGACTGAGTGAAACGATCGAAAATATTGCACAGTGTACGTCCGGCATTAGCTGCTTGTCTCCATAGAAGTGCTTTTCTCTCTCTGCTGGGATTTGGTAGAGAGTTTATCCACTGATCCGAAGGGTATCCTAATGATATAAACATCACATCATTCAGGGGTCGGATCCACTGACTCACAGGCTTCCAGTGTGATTCCAGCTTCCACAGATGAATGCTGTCATTGTGTCCTTGGGCAAGACATTTAACATACAGTATGTTGCCCCCAGTGTCTGTGTACACTGGTGTATGAATCTGTGTGTGAATGGGTGAGTGGTTCCTTGATGTAAAGCACTTTGAGTGCCTTGAAGGTGGAAAAGCGCAATATAAAAAAACATTTACCATTTAAAACCAAGTGAATAATTTAGTGAACTACTGAAAACTAAATAAAAATAAAGAAACACATTTGGTCAAGAGCTTAGATAATTTGAATTGGCTTGAATGTCATTTTTTAGCGTTTTATTTCTGCTACATGATGAATTTTGCGGTTGGCTCTCGGTATAATTCATTATAGCCACAGGTCACTGTTAGAAGACACAGTGCCCTGCTCATCCATTGGAGCTCTGTATAAATCATGTTCTTGTGGCCTGGAGCGAGACAGAGAACTATCATCTGCTGCTGTGGATCTGACTCTGACCCCACTCACAAACCCGACATTGTACTGCAATACATCCCTGGGCATCACACGCACAAATGAAATATTAAACTGTACTAAGTTCATTTTAACCATAACATACAGCATTAATAGTGTTTTTTTTGTTTGTTTTTTCTCCAAGTTCAAATTTAACTGGCTCTTCTATGATGTAATGTTGTATCCTCATTAAAAACATATCTGGAGTTTTGTTTTGTTTCACTTATATTTAACACACTAATCCTGCATATTTAGGTTGAGTTCTTCTCTCAAACGGAAAACAGTCCACTTTGTGATGTCATGTGGTAATACAGGAAGTGTTCCACATTGTTTTTAAACAACTCCATACACCATTATTTGAATCATTTGAATCATTTAGATCAGGGGTGTCAAACTCAAATTCACAGAGGGCCAAAATTAAAAACTGGGACTAAATCATGGGCCAAACTAAATATTTCTTGAAAAATTTCAACAACATCTGCATGTTTTCTCTTCTTTTGAGATATGTAATGTTAAACCTTTGCTTATTAAAATAAATGTTTAATAATAGTTTTACTTAAACGTTGAAACCAGAACAAGCATAATATAAAAAAATAACAACACTTTAAATAAATAATGTTTCTGTAGCTGGTGGGCCAGCTCTAATACGTATTTGATATGATCTCGTGGGCCAAATATAATTATATCACAGGCCAAATTTGGCTCCTAGGCCTGAGATTGACATGTCTGATTTAGATTTAGACTTAGACCTAGACAAACTTTATTGATCCAGAAGGGAAATAATTTGGACACAGTAGCTCACACATCACAGTAAATATAACAACAATGAGCAAAAATAGAAATGGTAATAATAAATTCTTAATAAGTAGCAAAAAGATGTACAATGTACAAGTAAACATAAACTAGAAAGAGGTATAAAATATAAAATCAGCTTTATACAAGAGGTAATAGGAAGACAGTGCAACAATGGTATGGTGATTGTTTTAGTGTCTTTAAGTCTATAATTTCAGCCCTGGAATTGCCAATCTCTACTAAACAAAAGGTAAAAGGTACAATAGCTGTTAACTTGAAAACTATTGCTTCATGACATCACAAGGTGGAATGGAGTGTTTTTAAGTTTGGAGATGTAGACAGACTAATAATAAAGAATTACTCAAACAGGAATGAAACAAAACACAACTTCAGGTCTGTTTTTGACGAGGTAACAACATTAAAACATGACTTAAAGCTCACAAGAATACATTTTTTGTAATGTAGGACAACATTGGAGAACCTGAAATTTGTAAAAAGCTTTAAAAAAATCCAAAATAGTTTATATTTGCACCATCTTTCTAACTTGTTTTCTGTTTTTTTTCCGCAGGGTGATGTGTGAAACAGTACGCTACGAAAGACATGAAGCCAATGAAGTGTTGTACTAGTAAGTATTTTCTATCTACTCTATGATATCAACATTACGGAATCACTATAATAAAACAACAAGAACCACTTTTGAGATAACATCGCAATTCACTTCAGCCTCTAAGTCTCTCCACACCATTGCTCCATATTATCGATGAACAGTAGCCACGTGGACAAGCAAAATGAAAACAAATGTCGGTAGAGCTGCGGTGCACTTAGGGAGGTACTGCTTCGACTGAGAAAAAGAGCTCCAAAAGTGGTTTTCAATTTAATTTTGATGGTGATGACTTACGCCGGGAACCATTGACAAATCCTTGGCTGTCACAGATCTGAAAGGGTTAGTACTGGAGATCATTACTGTGATGCGTTTACTTGCTATCGGATATCAAGGCGCCGGGTAATAGTCATCTTCGCGCATAAGGAGTTGGCAAATTGCAGGTTTGCCAGCATTCCTTTCAGAGATGATATAAACAATGGTCTTGCTTCATCTTGTGGTTTCATTCATCATAAAAAGTTTAAACATACAATCGCTGGCTGGTCTCCATGGAGATGTTATTGCTCGGCCTGGAATGTTTCAGAGTTTGGCATTAAATCTATCTTTCAGGCTTTTATTCAGTTAAAGGTGTTTAATTAGGCTTCATTCAGACTGCAGCCTGAAGTGACCCAAATCTGATTTTTCTGCCCCTATGTGACCTGTATCTGATCTTTTAATGACAGTCTGAACGACACAGATCAGATTTTTTTAAATGCGACCCAGGCCACTTGGATATGTGGTCCTAAAACTGATACACATGCGACTTCAGTCTGAACGGTCAGGTCACATTCATCCCACCTACACGTCACGGCTCAGAGTCTAGTCAACGGAGGGAAAGCGAGGTTAGCGAGTAAATTAATATTTGGGGGGATCGCTTTATTCAGACCAAATTGGAGGGATCTTATCAGAATTGAGCAGTTTTTGAAATGTTTGCCAAAGAAATGTCCAGTCCAGGCTCCAATGTCAGCAAAAAATAAAGAGCCTGTGAGCCAAATACACGGAGACTAAAGACTCAAACAAGCAAAGCGGCCGTGAATGTGTAACCTGTTCAGTTTACGAAGAACTGGACCGTATTTTGGGAGACAAGCCCAGCGCTTAGGCAACTTCCATAAACACTGAGCACACTCGCTGCATGTGACGTCATCGTGTCCTCCAGTGCGCATGCGGGACACTTTTGGAGCGTTTTGGAGATCACGTACAAATCACATTTAACTGGAAATGTGAATGACCTCGCAAAAAAATTGGATTTCACAAAAAAATCTGAATAAGCCCTGCACTCTGAACGTAACCTTAGATGCACAGATAAAGCTTTTTTAGTTCTGATATCGATCTACCGATACACAATGTTGACCAATATCAGCGTAGGACTAAAAATGGAAAGGAATGAATGGAATGAAAATGTTCCCCTCAAAACACTGAATTACTGAATCCAATTGTGTTATGTAATTGTTGTTTATCTTGCAAGTAACTACTGAACAAATTTGTATGCATTAAAGTTCAACATTATGAGGCATTCTGGGTCAGAGCCCTGCATGGGTACATTTTTCGAGACCCACACCCTCACCTGCCCACTCCCGCTCAGTACAGGACCGCACCTGCCCGTTAACCTGTGATTATATCAAAGTTAAATCTGCACCCACCCAGACCCGTTAACATTCCACCCGTTACCCGCCCGTGCCCGTGATAAATTGGGGTCAGCCCATTAGTCCGACAGCAAAATAGTCCAGGACTTAGCCAGGACTTAACAGGACTAAACCAGGTCTAAACCAAGACTTAACCTGGTCTAAACCAGGTCTAAATGAGGACATAAACAGGTCTAAACCAGGGCTTAACCGGGTCTAAACCAGGACTAAACCAGGAATTAAACAGGTCTAAACCAGGACTAAACCAGGAATTAAACAGGTCTAAACCAGGACTTAACCATGTCTAAACCAGGTCTAACCCAGGACTTAAACAGGTCTAAACCAGTACTTAAACAGGTCTAAACCAGGTCTAAACCAGGACTTAATCAGGTCTAAACCAGGGCTTAACCAAGATTAAACCAGGTCTAAACCAGGATTAAACCAGGTCTAAACCAGGATTAAACCAGGTCTAAACCAAGACTAAACCAAGTCTAAACCAGGACTAAACCAGGACTAAACCAGGACTGAACCAGGACTAAACCGGGACTAAACCAGGAGCGCAGCCTTTTAAACGTACAACCATGATATTGGCTGAAACAGTATAATGGAACTGATACCCAATCCTGCAATCATGCATCGTTATTTTTATTGCTCTTAAATACCTTGCAAAACATTAATTCTGCGAGCAGGGTTGCCTCTCCACAGATCTGACCTGTCACTTCACCTAATACTGCTGTTTGTCCATGGACACAGATAAGTTTAACACGCCATACTGTGGAGCTTCTTCATGGTAGACAAGCATTCCTGTATCAATAAATCACAAACAAAGCTATATAGAGAGAGATAGAGAGATATATCCCTCACAACTGGTATGTAGTAACCCAAAGTATTACACAATGTCTACCCGCTCCTCTATTTGCAGCGTGACTCTTTGCTCTATTGACTTCTCCCAGTCTAGACCACACCAAACTTACTACCATTACCATCACCTCCTCCTCAGCGCTTTAAAGGCTCACCCAATGTTTAACTGCTGTCACCTCCCTGACGTCTCCCACACGCCCGGTGAGGAACAGACCATAATTAACTCTCTGATAGACTCGCGGGGTACCCCTCCTCCCCCTCCGCCCCCTCCGCCCCTGCCCTTCCCCCCCCACCGTCACTGCACAGAGAGAGAGGAGGAGGAAGAGGAGGAAGAGGAGGAAGAGTCACCATCTCATTAGAAGCCCACCGGGGTCTGTTGTGTGTGAGCCGATTAGACAAGAGGAATGCAGATGAAGCTGTGCCGGATAATATAGTCTGGCTCCAGTCGACAATGGGAAGCCAAGCACAAGGCAGACTAATTTTGGTATTAATAACAAAGTGACGTCATCGTATTATTAGTCTAAAAATAACACAACTTCAGGTAAGAACTGGAGGTTGATATAGCAGAATAAAAAATTAATACAAAATTATGAATAAATCTATAATAAATACTTACTAATATTACTAATACCAATAATTTAGAAACAAATCAAAAGTATATGATTTTGAATTAAATTGTATATATATATTTTTAAACAAAATAAAAATAAATTACATTTATACCATTTAACACAAAAAAACTCTTCTCCAAACTATAACTGCACTGATCTGATACTGGTATTGGATATCAGCTGCTCAATTATGGAAAAAATCATTATCACAATTATTCAAATTATTATTTTTTAGTTACACGATGCATTTATTCAGCATTTCTCTCTCTAAAAAATACTTTGTTAATGATAATTTACGCAAAACTTTCAAACTGATAATGAATATAGGCTACAAATATGTACCTTAGAGCAGTTTTGCGATGTATAAAACATAAAATGAATAAAATATACTTTGAACATGAAATAAGGCATAGAAAAACATAAATGTATCCAAAATAAACTATATATCCAGCTGTTCTACAATCTCTATATTTACACTTATTTATATATTGAAAAAATCTCCAAATACATTTCAACTCGATTTAATGAGTTTGGAGATCATTCGACACACAAATCGAAATCGTGATTAAAATTTTATTAATTGCACAGCCTTAATTAGCACCGATATTGACAAAATTGGATATCAGCTTCCTAATGTCGATTCTGCTGATATATTGTGATGCAATTTTAGCTTTTGTTCAGTAGAGAGCAATTCCAGGTCTGAAATTATTCACATGATCACAATGAAGGTGTATTGAGTTTAAAAACACAGTGGAGCACTACTTTTATTACCACATGACATCACCAGGAGGAACAGAGTATTTTGTGTTTGTGAGAACTGAGCCTAAATATGCATTATTTGTGTGTTAAACATGTGTGAAATGGGGCTGAACGATTTTTAAGAAAACATTTAATTGCAATTTTTCTGGCAGATATTGAGATTTCGATTTCATCCACAATTTTGTTCAAATCAAGTTTTCGTGCACATCACAGAAACTTACATCATACCAGAGTCCTGCACCAACAATTTGAAGCTGGATGCACATTTGTTTACATTTTATAGAAATGAAACTTAAAACCACATGGCTAATTTGCATAAAGCTATCAACGCATCTCACTCCTTGTGCTGCTGATGCAGTCATACTTAAAAAGGACACAACTCAGTAGAATATTTGTGTTCTTTCTGTGACAGAGGATGTGCTGCCGATGGTGAGTCTGTTCTGTGCTTCTATCACGTTGGAGATGGTTCATGTTAAATTTTACATGAACGCCAGGTTTACATCTTGGCCTCCTAGCATTGTGGCAGTGAATTACTTTGCGGTGCATAGACCTCGACTTAGACCCATAAATCAAAAACGGCGGCGACAAGGCGACAGCGGCAGTGTGCGCTTAGTTGACTCAGAACTAAACTTCGCCCTTAAAATTGGGCTTTATGAGCACTGCAAAAAAAGAAAACATGGCTTTGACGCTCTCAGATTGGTCCAAAATGATAGATCGTTCAGCCCTAGTGTGAATGAAACAAAACACAACTCCAGGTCTGTTTGTGATGATTAAACAACATTACAGATCAGAAAATATTGTAATAGAAACCTTTTAAATGGTGACATCCTATTTCCTAACACGCATATTGGAGAAAAAACATGTTTCAAAATGAAGACATCTGGACGGATAGAATGAGAATATGTACGTTTTAAAGCCGCCAATCTTCTAACACAAAACACAAGTCCCCTCAGGCCTTCAACGGCAAACAGCAGGATATTAGCTTCATTTAATTTGTGCTAATCTCTTAAATCCTCACATCATTTCATTCATTTGTTTTGTATGTTGCAATGTGTATGAGCGTATGTGGACTCGGTGGTAAGTTCCATTAAAAGAGCAGGCTTTACACAGCAGTCGGTCAGATAATGTCTTT